CTTGTGTATCTTAGAGTTCCTTTGCTTAAAATCAATATTCATATTTCCACCAATCATGATTTTGGCGTTAAAAGGAAACTGAGATAACAATAGTTAAAGTTTATTAAAGAACAGTGAATAATTTAATTATATAATGATCGGAGAAATATAGAGACAAATTAGGAACATGTTTTCTACTTTGTTATGTATCATGGAAAACTCAGGAACTTTGTCTTCTATGAGATGGTCAAGGACATTAAATACTTGTAATTTCAATGTCTCAACCAACTCGGACTTCACCAAAATTTGTGTGCCACCGTGGATAAAGTTTTTCCTACAGTGGGTATCTGCTTATCACAGTGTAGCCTTCCAGAGCTCCAGGGCTAGGACTCTGTAACGTAACGGATAGCGATCGTTATCCCCATCGCTATGACACTTGCTGTCTTGTTCTCTCTTTTTGAATTCAATAGAGAGGGTACGTCAATAGAGAAAGAGAAAATATCTCTATTCGTTACATAGTCCCAGCAGGCGCGGATCCAGGGAGGGGCCATGGCCCCCCCTAGATAAGAAAAAATAATTTTAAAAATCAACATTAAATCGACCAATTTTTCCGAGTTTACCAGGACCCGTATATAACAGAATTTTATTTCATGGCGTCATTTTATCTCGGACCTTTAGCCTATTCTATTCGTATGTACAGTTGCGATCAAAAAAAAGTAGTACAAAAATTATAAACCCCAATTTGAGCTCCCGGTGTAACATACAAAATTTTGACAGGCAATGACATATTCTAGGTTAAAAGCGGGTGGAAAAATGCCAAAGTAATGTCATCTGAAGCTTTCTAGGTTAAAAACTTGTCGAAAAATGCCAAAAATATGTCATTTTTAGTTATGAATTAAATTAATGTATAATAGACCAGGAGATTTTGTAGATTTTTCTTCTACTATTTTTTTTTTATCGCAACTGTACATTGTGTTTGGTTATAATTTGACACCCCACCTGCAGCCTTTACCTTTAGAGGTACAGGGTGGCCCGTTTAAGATGGGCCTATACCTTATCTCGAAATCTACAAGGGCTGTAAAAAAAAATTAAATACAAAAGTTGTTTCTAATAAAATTATCTATAACTTTTTTGTATTTTTTTAAGTGTCATTCTACTATATACAGGGTGGACAAATGAAATTTCATTTTTTTAAATGAAACACCCTATATTTTAATACATTTTTAAATAGCTCTTTGAAAGACAAATTCAACGGTATACTGGTCATGTGTCTGTGATATACCGTTTCGAACTTATTAGCGATTATCTTCAGGATTTGGCGTAATTTTCAGCAGTCATTGTTACGTTACTCATAAACTTTTAAAACTTTTTTTGCATGATATTTTCTATAAAATAATGCTCTTCTTCAGATTATAGTCAAATTTGACATATTTGTTTAAAAAACGCGGTGTTGCCACGTTTTTCAGGCCGAAACGGTGCATCACAGACCCATTTCTAGTATATCGCTGAATTTGTCTTTTAAAGGGCTATCCAAAAACTAGGAGGCCAAATATGTTGAAGGCGGCTCAAAAAAATATGGACAAACTATATATTAGAAGCAAATATAGGGCATTTCATTTAAAAAAGTTGAAAGTACGCAAAATTTCAAATTTCTTACAATAAAATTTTGTTTTGGAGGATGGATTCTGAAAATTTAGTTAAAACTGCACAACTTTTGTGTTCACACCTATCATCTATGTACAGGGTGGCCCGTTTAAGAGGGGCCTATACCTTATCTCGAAATCTACAAGGGCTGTGAAAAAAATGTAAATACAAAAGTTGTTTCTAATAAAATTATCTACAACTTTTTTGTATTGTTTTTGTTGTCACTTTACTATATACAGGGTGGACAAATTAAATTTCATTTTTTTAAATAGAACACCCTATATTTCAATACATTTTTAAATAGACATTTGAAAGACAAATTCAACGATATACTGGTCATGTGTCTGTGATAACCCGTTTCGAACTTATTAGCGATTATCTTCATGATTTGGGGTAATTTTCAACAGTCATTATTACGTGACTCATAAACTTTTAAAACTTTTTTTTGCATGATATTTTCTATAAAATAATGCTCTTCTTTAGACTATATTCAAATTTGAAATATTTGCTTTAAAAACGCGGTGTTGCCACGTTTCGCAAAATGTTACGCTTTTCAATTTTTTTAAATGGGACCTCCTGTTAATTTTCGAGTTTTTGGATAGCCCTTTAAAAGACAAATTCAACGATATACTGGAAATGGGTCTGTGATGCACCATTTCGGCCTGATTAGCAATTATCTTCAGTTCTAGCACAATATTTCATCTGTCCAAGTCGCCCGGTGAATAACAAACATATGTCTATTTTCCTTCAACCATCTATTAACGTGGATTATTAATGTATAGAAATTTTTCAATATTGCCACCATTAATGCATAAAAAGCACTATTTTAGCTAATCTACTACAAAATTAGACATTTTATATCCTACTGAACTATTAAAACCATATAATACCTTGGTTACGATAATCATAAACAGGGTCTTAACTCCCAAGGGAGTTAAGGAAGGGAGTTAAGGATATCATAACTCCCAAGGGAGTTAAGGATTTCCATAACTCCCGCTTTTACCTTGAATAGGTAACACTTTGACAAAAAATAGAAATTTTGATTTATGGCTTATTCCTTTATAAAAATAGACAGAATACAGTAAATTCAGTAGGATATAAAATTATCTATGTACCACGGGAATTATCAGGAGTTAATACCCACGGGCAATTGGTGTCCCTCGGGCCGGAGGCCCTCGGGACACAAACGTTGCCCTGGGGTATTAACACCTGCATAATTCCCTTGATACATAAATAACTATTTTTCATTCAACAGGGATGACATGAGATATTGTGCTAGAACTGGAGATAAACGCCAATCAGGTCGAAACGGTGCATCACAGATCCATGTCTAGTATATCGTTAAATTTGTCTTTTAAAAGGCTATCTAAAAACTCGAAAATTTACAGGAGGTCCCATTTAAAAAAATTTAAAAGCGTAACATTTTGCGGAACGTGGCAACACCGCGTTTTTAAAGCAAATATTTCAAATTTGATATAGTCTAAAGAAGAGCATTATTTTATAGGAAATATCATGCAGAAAAAAGTTTAAAAAGTTTATGAGTAACGTAACAATGACTGTTGAAAATTACGCCAAATCCTGAAGATAGTTGCTAATAAGTTCGAAACGGTATATCACAGACACATGACCAGTATACCTTTGAATTTGTCTTTCAAAGAGCTATTTAAAAATGTATTAAAATATAGGGTGTTCCGTTTAAAAAAATGCAATTTCATTTGTTCACCCTGTATATAGTAGAGTGACACCAAAAATAATACAAAAAAGTTGTAGATAATTTTATTAGAAACAACTTTTGTATTTAATTTTTTTTTACAGCCCTTGTAGATTTCGAGATAAGGTTTAGGTCCCTCTTAAACGGGCCACCCTGTACATAGATGATAGGTGTGAACACAAAAGTTGTGCAGTTTTAACTAAATTTTCAGAATCCATCGTCCAAAACAAAATTTTATTGTAAGAAATTTGAAATTTTGCGTACTTTCAACTTTTTTAAATGAAATGCCCTATATTTGCTTCTAATATATAGTTTGTCTATATTTTTTTGAGCCGCCTTCAACATATTCGGCTCTAAAAATTAGAAAAATACTATCCTACTGACGATTTTGTCAACCATTCTGATGAAAGCTTCAGGTAAAATTTGAGGCACTTGATTTCTCTGATAGTATTCTTAAAATGTTTGAAGCCAAATATGGTGGAGACGGCTCAACTAAATATAGAGGAACTATATATTTTTGGAATCGGAAAATTGTGCTTTTCAAAAATATAGAATCAAATATAGGGCATTCTATTTAAAAAAGTTGAAAGTATGCAAAATTTCAATTTTCTGACAATAATTTAGCTAAAACTGCTCCACTTTTGTGTTTACACCTATCATCTACCTATAAAGATGGGGTGTCAAATTATAACCAGACGCCCTGTGCCTTTCAATATTTTGTATGCCCCCCCCTTAATTTGGGTCAGGATCCGCGCCTGTCCTCCATGAGCCAGTGCTCCGGGAGAAGCAGCACTTTAGGATTCCAGTATGATTCTGTGGGATTCCAGTAAGTTCTGTGGGATTCCAGTAGGATTCTGTGGGATTCCAGTAGGATTTTGTGGGATTGCAGTAGGATTTTGTGGGATTGCAGTAGGATTCTAGGGGATTCCAGTAGGAGACCGTGGGATTCCAGTAGGATTGCGTGGGATTTCAGTAGAATTCCCTGGGATTCCATGGATTGCAGTGGGATTCCATGGATTGCAGTGGGATTCCGTGGAATTCCCATGGGATTTCAGTAGGATTTCATGGGATTCCAGTAGAATTTTATGGGATTCCAGTAGGATTTTGAGAACCTCAAGCTCCTCTGTCTTTCTAACCGTCATTCAAATTGTTAATCTGAATCTGGAACTGATCAGTGATTTCTTCATGCTTCTCCTCCAATTCGTTAATAATAACAGTAATCCCCTTGTTTTCTTGAAAAATCCTCTCCACGCGCCCATTATCAGGATCTATATCATAGCACGTGCTTGCATTGTCATATAATCCACCAAATAGTTTCTCACTGCCCTTCAGTGGTTCTGTTCCAATGCATAATTGTTTTAAATACCTATGCAAATTATGTTGATAATAAACCCAAAACTCATTGCTACTTTTTTCATTCAACTTGAAACAGACGTCGAGGAGTGGAAATACGGAGTTTTCCTAAATAGAAAAGATGTTTCCGTAAGATTTTATCTCATAACAGCAGACAATTTTCTCCTCCTCTCGAAACCAAACTCAGACAGATTAACACAAGACAACACTGTGAAAACACCAATAAATTCGAGAGCTGATAGGCACCCTTAATATACAATGACTTTCACTTGAATACTTAACTAAACTACACATTTTTTGAGGCGGTTTAACCCTCGAAGATTCATAAAGGCGTTTTTAATCATCTTCTCAAGATGTTGGATGGGATACCATCGCCATCTTTCAACAGAAACGTCTTAGCAGTGTTTTTCTAGAATACTGCTTCAAATTTGTTTTGACATTTTTGTAGGGCATCAAGAGTTGAAAATATCATCATAAACTCAATAAAAGTAAGGTTTTCAACCTAAGTAATCCAAGGTTTCCTGTTCTTTTTTCTAAATTTTTATAATCGGAAATGGACGTTCAAAGACATCAGTCAACAAGACATGGAACCTGCTCAAGGGATCCTCAGTAAGCAAAGTACCCGACCACACTACACAAGAAATCATCATCCAACCCTGTATAAACATAATCCAAAACAGAAGCAGAGCTATTCGTGATTCTATGGTTGGCGAATTAACATGCATCTTAAGATTGAATGATGTTCTACTCCCTTTGCAGAACAACATTTAATTTGATGCCAACGATCTGGCAAAAAACAACCTCTCTAAAAATACACTGCCACTACATTATGGTGGGTACCCCCATGAATAGAGTTCTTTCAACAATGATTGATACTGAATTATAATCTGGTATAGAGGTATAGGTTCCTCATCTTTGAGCCAGCACTCCTGTAATACTCCGGACTTACTGCCTCAAATTTGTTTTGAAGTTGATGGGAGATCAGGGTTTGAAAATTTCAGAAAACTCGATGAGAGTGAGGTTTTTATCCTTCTTCTTGAAATTTTGGATGGGGTATCGTTACCATATTTTAGCAAGGACTTAACATGGTATGTTCTAGAATACTTCCTGAAAATAGTTTCGCAATTGAAAGGGTAGGGTAAAGAAGGTTTATTATCTAATACGTTTGTCCATTATCCTATGTAATCTACTGAAAACACGTTTAATGTACTCGTTAAGAAACAAACTTTGGAACCTACTGTATACTCAGCGCCATCGGTTTTACCGCTTGCTGTTGTTTAAATAAAAATAAAAAAAAGTCAGTGGAAGCACGAGAAATAATTATTATCAAATAATAGAGAAAGTTTCTGCACATAATTTTGAAGTTGGTTTCTCTTTCAGCAAATTTGAACCCAAACTCAATCTTTGTGTAGTTTTAGATTAATTTGAGAAACAAAATAACCATAAAAATTAAACCTTGACACTTTACTTTTGTGTTTTAGGCCAGCTAACCACATTAGAACAAATTTTAGAAATGTTTTAATCTAAAAACCACAAAAACCAACAAATTTTCATGCATAATAATGCACATATTCGTCAAATTCTTTTTGGCTACTTTTTCAAAGTGATTTTTGTATACGAGCAGATTTCAATTATGAAAAAAATTATGTAAGTACCAGACCTATTCAATTTACATTATGTTCTAGCAAATATAATGAAAAAACCGATATCATGCTGCTATCGTCTATCAAAAAAAAAGAGATTTCCAAAAATAGGCTTAAAGAATTCAGTCGCTCACCTGTATCGAATAGCATTTTTCAGGAATTAAATTTATGCTTGATTGATGTAAAACAACAGGAATTATAGGCGCACTTAGCTGCAAACCAAAACTCTATTTGGAATTATTTAAAAACAAAACAAATATGTGTGTTTGGCAGTACCAATTAAAATGTAACTATTATTTCTCCACACTATAAAATTCCTAAAATTGATTACTGATGAATGATTAATACATTAGTAATTACCTGTTCGAAGCACTTTAAACGAAATTTTGCTTTTAGTATGTCTGGTTTTTGCGTTTTGTTAGCACACTGGCGATAATAATAATCCAATGGCAACAATAGATAAGAAATCTCCTTGATAATGATAAAGAAGGCAAACACTCCCAACCCATAACAGTATTTAATTGATTATAAGAATATTTTTAAATTGTCTGTGAATCGTTTTGCTAGAAACGCGAGTGTTTAGTGAATTAGTCATGATGATGGTGAATCAAAAAGATGCTTCTCCGAGAATTCCGCGTTTAGGAGCTATTGAAAATAGTTCTTTAGCTCAGAGGAGAGCTTCCAAGGGTTCTAAGGATGATTTAAGTTATTATAGATATGAGGAATATGATAATGTGCCTTTGACTCCAAAACCTATTAATGAGCAGAGTTTGAAAGTGTCATGGTATGACCTGTTTTTTTTAGTTTATTCAAAACATTAAATATAAATATTACTCACCATTTGGTTCAAATGTTACAAGTTCTGAAAGGTCAATAATAGTCCAGGGTCAATACCAGTTAATTAATAAATGAAGAAACAATACAATTATTGCTTATTAGTTTTCAGTCAAAGCTAAAAATAGTGGTTATATCAGTATTGGAATATTTATAAACAGTGTCTTGATTTGTTTCACGACTCCCATGTACAAATCTTTGGTGGACTTATTTATTTAATTATTCTCGTTCTGGATTTTCTATCTATTTTAATTTTTCGGCAGGATCATTATTGTTCTAACATTCAATAATTATGATTTAAAAAACGACATTTTCCTCAGGGTAACCAACATTGCCAACATGTCCAGAGACAACATGCTCTGCTCGAAATGTGGAGAAGGCTTCGAAGCGCAAGAGAAGATAGTCAATTCTACAGGGCAGTTATGGCATCAACAATGTTTTGTGTGAGTAACTACTCATTTAATTAGAAAAAAAAACGAGATTTTCTGTAAAATTCAATGTTTCAGGTGTGCCCAGTGTTTCCGCGAATTCGCAGATGGCGTTTTCTACGAGTATGATGGAAGAAAGTATTGTGAACATGATTTCCATGTGCTTTTTGCTCCTTGTTGCCAACGTTGTGGCACATTCATTATTGGTAACCTAAATACAATAAAGCAATATATATTTGGGCAATTTCTTATTCAAATTTATTTAGGGAGAGTCATCAAAGCCATGAACTCGTCCTGGCACGCTGAATGCTTCCGATGCGAAATGTGCCAGCTGGAACTGGCCGACACTGGTTTTATTAAAAACGGAGGCAGAGCTTTGTGCCATGAGTGCAATGCCAAAGTTAAAGCTATAGGACTCGGAAAATATGTTTGCCACAAATGCCAGTAAGATATGTTTATTTTAAGAAATCAGAGTAGAGCATTGGTAGTAAATCAAATATTACATTGAGCTATAATATTGTTAGATTACTCACAACTTCTAATGCAAGGCGTCTAGAACATCAATGATCTGATGTCTTTCTTTATCAATCTTCAGATAAACTTGCTGGTAACTATCTGCAAGATAAATTTACCATTCTATAATTCTATTATTCGGCAGATAACTAGTCGACCAATGGGATTACAGATTGCGTTTTTCTTCAGATTACATACCTGGCAGTTTATCAGAAGGTGAATAAACCGGCCCTCATTAATAGAAAAAATCCTTATTTTCAGTTCTATGATTGATGATCAACCCCTTAAATTCCGCGGCGAAGTTTATCATCCCTACCATTTCAATTGTACAGCTTGCGGGGTCGAGCTGGACGCCAACGCTAGGGAAGTTCGTAATCGTCCAGGATTGGCTAAAAATGACACTAACGAGTTGTACTGTTTGAGGTGTCATGACAAAATGGGAGTTCCGATTTGTGGTGCTTGTAGAAGGCCTATTGAGGAACGTGTGGTTACTGCTTTAGGCAAACATTGGCATGTAGAGGTAAGAGTGATTATTGGAAGATATTTATGTTTGATTTGAATTGAAATCTAGATGAAAATTGGCTTGATTCAGTTTTAGCATACCTTATTTTTAAACTAATGCACAAACTTTGCTGTTCCCACTCTGTACTGTATGATGTTTACTCCAAGGCTTATTCTCCTGCTACTTACAACTTTCCCCCTCAATGTATGTACTTAACACTGAATATTTTTTCTTCATTCTTTCTAGCATTTTGTCTGCGCCAAATGTGAGAAACCCTTCTTCGGCCATCGTCATTACGAGAAAAAAGGTTTGGCCTACTGCGAAACTCATTATCATCAACTTTTTGGCAATCTGTGCCATCATTGCAATCAAGTTATAGCAGGCGATGGTAAGTATTTCAAAACTAATTAGTAAAAATCTAAATAAAATATTCTCTTAGTATTTACTGCGTTGAACAAGGCCTGGTGCGTCCACCATTTCGCTTGTTCAGTTTGCGATCAGAAGATGAATCAAAAAACCAAGTTTTACGAGTGCGATCTGAAACCGGTTTGCAAAAAGTGCTACGAGAGGTTCCCTAAGGAGTTGAGGAACCGTTTGAGAAGGCAACATGAGGCTACGCCTAGGAGAGCACCCACACCGAGTGACTAAATAATTAACATTATGAGTAAAACTGGAATTCTTTGATTTATTAAAAACACTAGTCGCGTTTGTTTTGGAAATATTTAACGTTTACTAATTTTTCTTCTAAAAGAAAAGCTTAATTAGATTGTAAGTTGATGTTAGAGTTTGCGCCTTAATTAAGAGCCTAAGTTCTGAAATCAATGTGCCTCTAGGTAGAATGTTGTAAAAACTAAAAATTACAACATATTTTTCTACATTTTAAAATAGACTAAAGCTTTACTAATTAATATTGACAGGTATGTATTTATTTCTATTAATTATTTATATAACTTTGTTTTTTTCACATACAAATTTCTGGGTGAATGTTTTATTTCTGGTGCTTTAATCATTAATATAATAATAGTATGTGTTAATGTGCCTTACATAGAATTAAAAATAATAATTTAATGATAGATTTAAAACAAAAATTAACGTGTATTTGATTGTATCATTTATAATGTGAAAGTCCCTTGAAATGAAGCTTAAAGTCGAAAGTTTATTTAATAAGTGCAGCCAGAGAGAATAGAGAGTTATTGGAACTAATAAATACTGCCTTGCAGTATTAAGGATCTACATTATTTTATCAGTGCATCAGCACTATTTTTCCAAGAAAAAAATAGTTATTGGAAGACTGTAGTATAATTTTGACAGCTGATTGCTATGTTTATAAATTTCAACCTCAAAAAGTGTTTATTTTTGTTTGTGATTTTCTGCTGATACCCATTTTTCGATGCTACCCACAGTAAAATGGAAAACCACTGTAAAAAATAATTTTTATGTCATACCAATACACAGTGGCGGATCTAACATGAAGCAAAGGACGCACTCTGCGTCGGGTCCCCAGAGCTGAGGGGCCCCACACAACAACAAATAATAATAATAATAATAAATTCATGAACATGAAATTCAATTCATGAATAAAAAAAAATATGAAATTAAATTTTGAAAGTTACGGCAACGTTGTATACCTTTGGGAAGCCTGTTGTGCGTGGGACGCATATTTTACTTTTTTGATATTTTTGTATGTGGAGACTACATCACATGTTGTATTTCTTTTGGTTTAAATAAAAATTCCTAAATTTTTGCAAATAATTTTTTTTTTTCAGTTAAATGAAAAAAAAAAATTATTTGCTTTCATTGTTTTCATATGTTTCATCTATGTTTTTAAAATTTGTCAAATTTAATTTTGCCGGCGGCGTCTGAGAGGCGGAGAGCAGAAAAATGGTGGACACACATGGTGATTGGCGGGTTGTATCGTGGACCTCGTCAAGCTTGTTTTTATGAAGGTGGCGATAATGGGTTTCAATCATTTGCAGCCAATCCAATGACATTTCCGGTTTATTGATGTGCCTACTGTCAAGGGTTGGAGTTGACGCACCTGTCAATTTTTTTCCGCATTCTTTTCTTCGGTAAATTTTTTTTCACAAATCACATAACGTTACTTTCGACAGGGGGAAAAACATGTCATTGCGACGGCCGTTTCCACCAACCACATATTTTTGGGGAGCCTAATTATTTATAAGTATTTCTTAAAATGACAGTTTTCCATGGAGAAATGTCAGTTTGAGGAATACTTATCGTAAATGGCTTCCCTGAAATAGTTGCTGGAAACGACCATGAAACAAACAAACGCATTGTTTGACCTCCCCTCGAAAGTGAGGTTATGTGTGTGACGTCAGCTAATGCCTCCAACACCACAAGAAAAATACTTAAAAAAAGTATGACAGGGTCCCAATTTTTTTTTTGCATCGGGCCCCGAAGGTCCTAGGTCCGCCACTGCCAATACATTATTGTATTTTTATATCTTAGATACCATCTACATAATTTATTACTTTATGCCCGTGCGGGCATAAAGTACACATTATGGCCCGCGCGGGCATAAAGACGCAAAAAACAGTTTTCAATTAACTTATTTTTTATTAACGAAATATAAATTTACGCTTATAAACATATTATTTTTGTCAAAAAATTATGATGTTTGCACACTGATGACAATTTGCGAAGTGACACTTTTTTCCCAGGTATTTATTATTCACAACCAACTGGTATGACATAAAAGTTTGTATGCACCACGGGTACTAATAGATATTATATACCCTCGGGCGACTTACGAACCCTCGGGCCAGAGGCCCTCGGCTTTGTAAGACTGTCGCCCTCAGGGCATAATCATCTACTTAGTACCCTTGATACATAAATAACTATTTTAAGTAAAATTACGTCATCGTCGAAAAGCGAAACGTCAAAGTCGTCCAAAATGTCAGAAATTTAAGATAAGGGTTTTTTTTTGGACCCAATTGCGCATGCGTAGATGTTAAAATAAGACTAATTTAAATACTGCTTGTCCTTATTGCACGTCCAATACAATAACTCTCTATTACCTAAGTACCTGGCGTTTTCCAATTAATAATCGTAAAAAAAAGAATCGGCGATTAGGTCAAAACTTGATAATCGCAACAGTAATCGTTCTGTCACTATTATAAGAATAAGTACTAATAGTGTTAACATATTAATTTTAATAATAATATGTTTTATATTGAAGAAGTAACTTAGTTCTGTATACCTTGTGACTTAATTTGCTAATATTTTGTGTAAAATAATTTATTAAAATGTTAATTTGTCTTTGTATTGATGATATTAATCAGTGTTATTATATTATGAAGATGTAAACTCATTTATATTAAACCCTAAGAAATATAACTAATTTTTTTTGTGCTTTATTTTTCCATATGTTACAATATCACCTTTGTAGAGCAGAAAGGGGCCAAGCGGCAATTGAACCATTTTTGAGATAACCACCATAACATCTTCATACCCCAACTCACATTGTCTGAAAACGTGACAAGTGGCAAGTACAGGGTGTCCCGGGACATGCACCAAACTCGTCTCGTATTATTGGAGAGGTTGGAGATTTTGTTGAGCGACATTTCGGTCAATTCCATGTTGATTTTGACTGACGATCTCAACGTGAATTTCTTGGACAAGTGCAATCGATCTAATCAGTTACTGTGTAATTTGTTGAACTCGTTCAACTTAAAGATGCACGTGGATCGGCCAACCCGCTTTTCCGCATTCTCTACCTCAATACTTGACTACTTCTGCATCAATTTCAATCAGATTAAAATTCAGAGTGTAACGATCAATGCCGGTTTGCCTGACCACGAGGCAGTAATGAGACTTGTGCCCTTTGGCGATTAAGCACCCATCGGAATGGAATTACGTTCTGGCTACTGTGAGCCCGTGTTGCTGAGTAATTTTTACATTGCCTTCCCTATTGTCAGTATAAAGAAGCGGAAGAGAAAATCCTGGTTTACAAAGGGCCTTCGAACTTCTGGGAAAAAGATGCACTCCCTTCATTACGTCAGAAAGTTCTCTATGAACAATCCAATATTTTTGAACTATTTTGATAGGTACCGAAGGGTTTACAGAAGATCGATCAGGCTTGCAAAGTGGAATTACTTTCAGAATAGGATAAATTATTCTTCTAATAGATCATCGTATTGTCACAATAAGCTAAACGTCCGCCAGGCTGTCAAGAATCTCTCGGTATTATTTCTTGAGTATACTAGAATCTAGTGAATTATTCTACTTAATTCGGGAAAATAAGATTATCGTGTGTATTCTAGATTTTACAGGAATAGATTTAGGGATATATAAAGGCGGCTATTGCTTTGTAGTTTTAAGTTAAAGTTTGACTGTGATACGAGTTAAATAGTGATTATTCAGTTGTAAAGTTTAATTGTTAAGTTAGTTATTAAAGTAATTAGTGTCAGAGTGTTTTGTTAAGTAGAATAAATTATTGCTGTGTTAATTGGACTTTGATTTTTTGGAATAAACGAAACGAACCACGAACCCAAGAATTTTGTCAGCAGGCAACCCAAAGCTGCGACAGTATATTCTAGCACATGCAGCCCTTAAGGCCCATTTATAAACTTGACGTTGCAATTCCGTTACCGTTTGCGCCTGCCGTTGTGAACATAAAAATATAGGATTCCATAAGATCGCTTATATTCGCTGTCGGCGGTGGAGGATTGACAGTTTGGGTCGGTATCTAACACATCGGAAGAACAGAACTCGTCGTATCCTAGTATTTCGGGGCAACGTTAACGGCCAAGTGTCCCTGGATAAATGTCAGATTCCGCAAGTTCTCCGGCATGCTCGAAATTATGGCGGGGATTTTGTTCTTGTAGACGATAATGCTCAGCTTCATCGAGCATTATTAGTGAACCGGTATCTGCGAGGACAAAAGTTCAATCGTACCGAATTGCCTGCTAGATCCTCAGACATGAATCCAATTGAGCACGTCTGGAGCTGAATAAAGTTAGAACTTTCCCGGGAAGAACGTCAGCCAGAAGCTCTAGACCAGTGGTTCCCAAACTGGGGGGCGCGCCCCCCTGGGGGGGCGTGAAGCAACATTAAGGGGGGCGTAAGTCTTCTAGAAAATTATTACAAATTTTAAGCTTTAAAATAAAAAATCAGTTAAAATTGAAAAAAAGATGTCTACAATCCGGCAACAGCGCATACCTAAGCCAAAGCAGCTTTGCCATGCGATCATTGCTACAGCGCACGCTCGCTGCCCACTGTCATGCCCATTCCTCCTCTTCCAAAGTCCAGTTCAGACGAGTTACAGTGATGTTTTTGTCTCAGTTTTTGTATAATGGGGGAAGGAAGGGGGGCGCGACCACCTCTTGATTCCAGAAAGGAGGCGCAAATGAAAAAAGTTTGGGAACCACTGCTCTAGACGATCTCGAGGAGATGATTCTGGAGCTCTGGGAGTCAGTTACTATAGAGCCAATTAACCCTTAGAATTAACCGAATAATTTCGAGCGTGCCAAGGCGGTGTCAGTTATTCAGGCTAGAGGAGAACCAAAATGACACCATATCAGAGTTATTTACACCCATATGCACCGTATGGACTTGGGAGTTTAATCTCACTTAGTTCGAAAATTTGCATATAAAAGAAAAGTCCTAACCTGGTTCCAGTAACTAATCTGAATTGAGTCCTTATGGTGCGTTAAATTTTAAAGCTCAACAAAACTTAAAAATTTCAGATAAAATCAATTTTTTTTATTTTAATTTCATAAACCCCCTTTCGCACGCCACTCGTGTTGACTATTTTCTATACAAGTCATTCCATGATGCAATTGAATCGGAATCTGTTATTGTTCAATTAAAGAATCGCTAATTTCAAGAGAAAAACGAAATACCATAAAATGACCATATTTCCATAGCAACGCGATGTATCGAAAAAAATGGTAAAGACGTCTCGAGGTGTTGACCTAGTGATCGAGTCACAACTAGAAAGAACTTTATTGGACCCTCCATCTTTCCCATATTCTTCGCCAAAAAATGGAAATTTTTCGCCGCCTTACATTCACACCCTGTATAAAGAGAAGGAATTTTTTTAAAAAATCTACGACGACACTGACGCATAGACCGAAGATGGCGCTTTGTAACCCTGCCTGATAATCAAAGTTCGGCAAAGAAATGTCGAAGTTATAGCAAGTCAAAATTATGCAATTTTTCGGGTGTCCCACTTCATCTGCCGCTTAGTTTATATTATTTGTTAACAATTATTAAACGCCTCAATTTTTTGAAGTGAGTGTACGTGACAACTATGTTTCCTATAAACTTAAATTCTTCACATTCTTTTAACGGGTGTTCTTAACTTGGGCGGAGAGTAAGAGGTTGAAAAGGGAACAAAGGGCGTTTTCTAAAAATGACATAAAAAATCCAGGTCCGTATTCAAAAAAATGGAATTGATGATGGTAGCTCGATCACGAAACGTCGGATTTGAAATTTGAAGATGCCATGTTGTAGAACGATAAAAATAATAAAACTTTCAAATTTAAATTGTGTCCCGAAAATCAATAGTTTTCGAAATAATTGATGAAATATTTTTAGGCGTTTCTTAGAAATCACCCTGTATTTCGTAAACTAAAATGAATTTGGCAAAACTGTAAACGAGTCTTGAATAAGCATCAAATAGGCAACTTTTTTCTAATTTAACCGACCTCGTACCTCTTATTGTTTCGGACTTTCGGAGATAGCAATAGTGGTATCACTTAAAACGGACACCCTGTATAATACTTTTGTTCTTTTGGATATTTATTTTGCTAGTTGGGTGAGAGACACACTTGCCAATTGTAGTGTGTCAAAACATTAGTTCCAACTTTGGATCCAACGTTGGAGCCAACGTTGGACGCGTCGTGTAGGACCGGCTTAAGGCGCATGAAATCCTTATGGCGCCAGTTCAATGGACGCCAATAGGCCCCTTGCATCAAATTTTTTTATTGCTGATTTCGATAGTCCATGAAAAATAAGTCAACACGTGTTTTTTCTTTTTCTTGTTAGTCAAAAATTGACGGAGATACAACGCTTTGAAATGTCCTTCCGACGTCATAACTTAGGTATAATATGTTGTTAGTTGTGACGTCGCACATGCTCAGTATATCTATATATAAAAAACTTAATATTTGTATAACTTCCAGAATAATCATATTTGGGTGAAATTAAAAAAAAGTAACTATTTTTTTTTCGATTTCCTACAGTTTGCAATAAACAATAATCAATTTAATTTTCCATGCAAGTACCCTGATAGGGATAGAGCCGCCAGACACGACACAACTTATTTTCTAATAGGACAGAATATGTGGGATTGAGTAGGGTAGCACCTAATAGGTACTACGAACGTATGTATACCCGCTAAGTTTGGTAGACGGCCAATTGAAAATAATAGTAACAGCTAAATCTGTTATTTGTAAATAACGGTTTTTGGTTTTTCCCATTTCTACTCTAGCCTGAACCACAGTTTCAGTTGTTCAACTCCGTTGACAAACCATTGATTCAGCGTTGCCAGACTCTAGATATGGAAGTGTGGTACACAATGCTCAAAAACTGTCGTACAGTGACGTACGCACCACGAATACTTGTGGTACACATTACCTCACATAATACATTTTTAGTAGGTACATACCTATTTACTAGAAAAAATATGATTTTTTTAAGAACGCAAAATAGTGGAAACTTAAAAATAGACCTTACATTAAAAATTACAGCAACAGGAAGGAGTAACTATTTATTAAATTTATTGAGGTACTTTGTAGGTACTTAGTCAAATTGAAACAAATTCTTTTGTAACGTTGATGCTCGATTATGTGATGTGTTAATTGTGTTATACTCTCCTAACTCCCCCACCATCAAATTCTGGGATACTCGAGGATCAAGAACACTTAAGCTGTTTTCTTGCGATGGAACTTGTTCGATCCGGTTCAATTAGTTTCGAACCTATACATTCTTGCGTTGAACCAGTGACGTCACATTGAACCTGGTTCAGAAAAATTCGAACCGGAATCATAACTTATTCTTCGTTAACATAAGACTGTGGTTCAAACCTTCCATTTTCTCGCGTTCATAAGTAATGACGTCATCTACAAATTGGTTTAAACCGAGGTTTAAACCGTAATTGAACCATTCGCCCCGCGAGAAAACGCTTTTAATTTCTTCTGTGTTAAAACAGACCAAAAATCACCTTTTCTACATTTAAAATCGACAAAATTTAACGCACGGTCGCAGGCCCAGAATTTGATGGAGAGGGAGTTAGGGGAGTATGACATAATTGACACATCACATAACCCATCATAATCACATGCAAGGTTGTCAAGCAAGGTACCCAAACTCCACCCAAACCCAATTTGGCCAACACACATAAGAAAAAAAGGAGAATTTCAAAACTGTGGTACATTACCGTACTACCGTACGCATTGATTTTCTTGTAACGAAGATGCCCTAAACTGTCGTACAAATACCACACCTGTCGTACGTCTGGCAACGCTGCATTGATTTTTTTGAAGCCAAATTCTATGCTTGCGCATTATTAATCGGAAACAACGAATCCTGGGCCGTGGACAGAGTCGGACTAGGATTTTTTGTGGATTAACATTGAGAATATAACGGAATCATATTATAATTTCGAAACAAATAATATAATGATTGCAATGGGGCATAATACTACATAGTTTTAAAAAAAAAATTGCCATCACTAAGTTTTTACGCAAAAAAGTTCACTGGCTCTTAGACCATTATTAGGACACAGCCAGGATTTCAATCCCATCCAGATTTGCATCACAGTATTAGATATTTTTGGAATGTGGACAATTATTTCATCAGATCAATATTATGTGAATGTATAGAGTAAACCTAATATGAAATATGTAAATATAAATATTTACAGTCGTTCATCGTTCGGGAAACTGAAATATCCTAAGCCTGGGCTAGTTCTAGTGTTGTTTTTACAGACAAAACAGGAAGCAACCATGATAATACACAATATATCGGGTCTTCAAAAAAAAACCAATCAAAGATTGCTATGGTTTTTCAAACGTATGTCTTAGCAATATTTTTCTTTAATTTTGTCAATGAAATTTAATGTCAAAATGTCCTGTCAAAAATCCTGACGAATAAAGAAACAGTAATGCGACGTACGTTTTCGTAGTCAAAGCAATCTTCGATTGGTTTTTTTTTTGAAGACCCGATATAAACGATAAAACAGTCAAGTACACAAAAATCGCGAATAACACGGAAAGCAAAACACCCCTAACAAAGCCGAATTTCAAATTGATGAATTTTCCGGTTACTTTTCAATTTCCTGAATAATTTCAGTCAAAAAACTTCTCTTCTTTTTTTGTAATACAATCCTGTTGCGTGTCTCGTTTGACAGTTATTTCTTGCGGGTTCTCAGCCAAGCTATCTCTATCTCTTTTTTGCGTGCAGGATTGGAAAGAGACATGTATATGCCGAACTGCTTTTTCAATTTGAGAGATTTGTTCACTCATTGAGCGCATGCGCAAGATATGGGTCAAAATGCTCTATTGGTTGGAGAATTTGGCCTCAAAAAATATGAAGAGTTGTACAACTGTATCGGTACGGTATAAACTGTGCCTGGACTAGACTGTAAGTTTAGGAGAGGGAAATCAGTTGACATAGATATCTCACTCACTCTCAAACGCATGCATACTACCCTCACGCTCACACTACTGGAACAATTATTATTGCGTCTGGGGGGATGTTTGGCCGGTGCGATTGGTCTGGCTGAGCACACGTAGTTATGAAATAGTCTCTCCAATAACATAATGTAAAAATCAAGTGTTAGAAAAAAAGTTTTTCTCAGCATTCGCACTGTCGGTAAATTGGCCGTCTACCCAACGGCCAAATAAGCGGGTATACATTCGTTCATAGAACATATAAGTGCTACACAATGCCACATATTCTGTCCTTTAGAAAAAAGTTGTGTCTGGCGGCTCCTGGGCTCTTGAACTGTTGTATTTCTTTCAAGAGTTTAAAACACTAGAGCTACTCGCTCCGGTGTTAGTCGACCCAGATTTGAAAGGAAAAGGTGTGCTGGTTTTCATGAATCTAATGGTTGAGTTCGGGCTTGAGCACTTCCAAGTTCTAGTGCAACAAATAATTTTCGAAAGGAATAAGCGCGTAAGCCCCGGACGGAGCTGTAATGGAGCTCCTCGCTCCTCAGTGTGAAAGGAATACATAACAACTATAGCCGCTTTCCCTGACGCTTTTGAGCACGCAATCGAGCTTTTGCGCGCGCAAATGCTTCAAGCGCGTGTTCGTGTTCCAGCCGTACTGCGCTTCGAGAGCTGCTAATTTTTGCGTTTCAAACACAGAACACTGTTCTGCACCGTGCTTGAAGCACACAGCTGGAAAGCGGCTAGTTAGGTTAGCTTTTTCATAGTTTGTTTAGTACTGAAAAATCAATAGTGATACTGATACAGCATACTGGGAAAAGAAACGACGATTTTCAGTAAAAACCGTACAGCGCGCGTAAACCAGTCAAAAAAAGAACACAGTCTTATATAGCCGCTTTCCAGCTGTGTGCTTCAAGCACGGTTCAGCACAGTGTTCAGTTCTGTGTTTGAAACGCAAAAGTTAGCAGCCTTCCAAGCGCAGTACGGCTGGAACACGGACACGGGCGTGAAGCATTTGCGCACGTAAAAGCTCGATCGCGTGCTCAAAAGCGTCAGCTGGAAAGCGGCTTATATAAACAGTTTAACAACCGGATAAGTTTATGAAATTTGTTTTTAGAGATTATCATTATCACTTTTCTACGACAAATCCAGACCCAACAACTACACTCTACACTGATCTGCTACCTTGGCTTTTGCTACTATTTTTAAATTTGCAGTCTTGTCACTAATGGACTAGTTTGACAAAACCGAGAACAAAACAAATGAGTGAATGAAGAAAAATGAACTTCGCCCCTCTAGTAGAAGAAGTCCATCTAGTTTTCTAATCTGTGTTACAAATTGTGATTAGTGATTTAGGTTTTTAAGTTCAAGCATTATGTTGTTTAGAAGACGTATAAAAGGAATAATTGTCATTTATTTAGGTATTATCCTCGGTATTATCAATGTGTGCTAATAATTAAAACGAAAAATGTCTAACCCAGGGATTTTATCCTATAAATGTGCAGCTCCCAACTGTTCCAATAAGTACTTTCACTCAATTACAGATGGAAATTATAGAAATAAAAAGTTTTTTAGATTCCCTGACAAAGACAATAGCAGGCGTAAAGACTGGTTTCAAATCATGACTTTAAGTTATTCTGATAAAAGGTCCTATTTATGTGAAGAACATTTTGAAGACAAGTGTTTTACAGATTCCAATAGAACTAGGTTATCAAAATATGCCCTGCCATTTGCCATTAATATAAAATTGGAATAAAAAAATAAGTTTGTTTAAAGATGTTTCAATTTTTCTATTGTTTAATTACCTCCTTGACCCTCTTAAGGAATCACATTTTACCTGGTTCTCTACTACAGTAGAACCTGGGTTTTCCGTGGTAATGTGGAGGCACCCACCTCGGATAATCCGAATGTACATTTATGTTTATGTATTGTCTATTCACAATCTGTAGTTCAAAGGTACAGGTAAAATCTATCACCTTTCAATGCTATTTGATAGGGAAAGGTGATAAATTTACCTGTACCTTCAGACTACAGATTGTGAATAGGATATATATTGTAGAAAATTGGTTAATATGCAGTATAGTCGCGCGTACCTCGGATAATCAGGGTTTTTGGATCCTTAGACTGGCTCGGTTAATCCAGCTTGGATAATTGCGACTCTGATAAATCAATTAGACCTTTGTTAATTAAACTATTCTGAGCAAAAGATGAATTTACCCTAGATACCTACATAAAAATGCAAGATTGATCTAGTATTGTAGTTATGTCGAGCGCTGTCTGGGACATTATAAATTGCAAACGGGGTATTACAAAAAATAAGAAAAGTTCTAAAAATCATACAATCTCTCCTGGAACATTAATCAGTATTTTGCAGAAATTGCCAATAATCTAGTAAAAGATATTCCACCAATCAATTTACATCTTCCTGATATGAAGTTGGCCACCAGAGGAAATAACTTTTCTTTTTCTTCAGTAACTTTCAACCAAGTTAGAGATGTCATCAGTAACTTGCTTGAAAAATAAAAATAGCTGACCTATATGGACTGAATGTAAAACTAATTAAATCTGTGAAAAATATTATAATAAGCCCTCTTACAAAACTGATAAACCTTTGCTTCCAAGAAAATACATTCCCTCAAGTTCTTAAAAGAGCTGTTGTAACCCCTAACCCCCATTTTTAAAAAAGGTAACTCTCAAGTCTCAACTACCTAAAAACTATAGACCAATTTCACTACTGCCAATAATTTCAAAGGTAGTTGAAAGATGTATGTCTCACAAATAGTTGGTTTCCTTGAAAATTATTACTTTTCCAACAACCAATTTGGCTTTAGGGAAGGCAAGAATACAGTGCTGGCCATCCTGGACCTATTCTCATATATAATAGACTTTTTTCATAATCTTGAATTCACTTCGATCTTGCTGTGTGACCTCAGCAAGGCCTTTGACAGTGTCGACCACGGCATCCTCTTGCAAAAATTCAAAAACTTTAACTTCTGCCCAGAAAGTATCAACCTAATACAATCCTATCTTTCAGACAGCGTACAGGTAGTGAGAATCTCTGGGATGGACTTATCGAAACGGGTAATGAACATCGGTGTCCCACAGGGGTCTGTGCATGGTCCAATACTATTTCTGGCGTATATCAATGATCTACCAGCATTGACAACAAAGCCAAGTACACACTATTCGCTGACGATACAACGGTGTCTTTCTCTGCGGACACTCTTGATGGGGCTATGGAAGTCTCCATAACATATAATAAAAAAAAATAGGACCTTATTGTTTTAACTAGGGTAGGGTAGGCGCCAGAGACCCCAGGAACTGGCCTGGCTTGATCCAAAACCACAACACTTTGATGTTTTTGGGTTGAAATGTTATACATTGTAAATTGGACAAATTATTAGATTCAAATAATTATTAAATAATTTAAATTTTATTAACATCAATTACAATCAAAACTATCAACAAAACGTAAAAATACCAGAATAACAGAACTAAATTGAAATAAGTATTTTCTTATGAATAAGTATTTGGGAGGAACAAAGAAAGAACGATACAGAATTAATGAGTTCATCACACTATTTCTTTCGGTTCTTTCTAACATGCCTATAAGTTGTAAACATTAAGTGCCATACTTCTTGAAAAAAAAATATATGACAATGCCATGGTGAAATTTCAAATTCCAGTTATTTCACAAATTATTTTTTATTACTGTGATAATAAAGTCTTTTGATAAGTCATTTTTGTTTAATTTATCGTCTTTTTGATCAATATTAATAATACTTTTTTTAAATCCAAACAATTAGGTTTTCTTCATAGTTTTGCAATCTATACACATAACGAAACTATGATACATTTCCTTACAAACTACACATTTAAATACTTTTTTCTTCTTAAGGTGTTAACAAATTAATTGAAAATCTACAAGAGGGTTCGGAATGTAAAATCAAAAATTTTAAAGAATATATTTACATAGGAAATACTAATAACATTGTAAATTATAACAAAATATGTTTTGCAGATTCAAGCGTAAAACAAGCCTCCTTTAGAAATGAAAAGTTGGTAACTATTGATTTTCCCTAGCAAATATCTGAAGTAAAAAGGCTTGCAATTTTGACCAAAGGATATCTGCTTAGTTGTCTTTCTTCATTCTGGTACTGGTCATTCTGTATATAATCGAATCGCGGCCTGGATCCATATTAGCAGTAGCGTAACAGATGGCCAGAATGGCAAAAAGCATAACAACGCTAAACCAAAGGATGATATTGAAGATTGCTGGAAAGTTCTTCGAGTATTTTGAAGCCAGATTGTATTTGGTTTTCTAAAGAAAATGTCATGAGTGAGCAATCAATTTTTCAAGAATAAAATATACTTACATCAGAGCCAGAAGCTTCATCGCCTACAGCGTTCCTCCTCTGTCTAGTATGGCTTGCATCGCTAGTAATAACAGAAACAAAAACGTGATTATTGTAGCGTTTGGCAAAAGCATTTGAGACTCGTGCAATGGCTTCTTGTAAAATTTTGTTGGCTTCTTGAGTTTCTGTGGAATTGGGCCCGTGGAGATCTGATAAGGCATGGAGAGAAGAAATCCGGAACCAGTAAACGTCAGGGACGAAATCTTCTTTTACTACTCCAGCATCAATCTAGGTAATATTATGAATTAGTTAATTTCAATAAGTGAGACATCAAATTTTCAAAAAATGTGTTACTTTGGTTTAAAATATAAATTTGTTGACAAAGCCATTCTATACAGGGTGATTTATGTAGCCCGTTCATTAGGTTGCAGGTGGATTAGAAGTTATCTTTACAAGCTACGTCAATCACAACATATACCTTCTACTAACAAATAAAAACATGTGTCTGTTTTTCAAAGACAACCATTAGGATCTCACCAAGGTACTCAAGGCCCGGATGCATCGTGTAGAGTGATTAAAGTGGCTCTTGTTTAGCAAGAAATTGGGATACCTTACCACCCCAACTGACCCAAACCCTTGCCTTTTAGCATTCATGAAATCCCAGCTGCTGTGCTATTCTCAAACGATCAACAAGTGTAAGAGAATTGCAAAATAGGAGAAAGAGAGTCATCAAACTTACTTTTGCAGCAATTTCAGTCAAAAGAGCAATGTCTTTCAGAAACGCCCTGTCTTCTTCCACATTAAGTTTCAAATGTTTATGGCCTACATGTTTTGGGTTTTCACTTTTGATACCATCGAAAATGTCATATTGTTCTACCTGTAACAAATAACATCAATTTTTATTATTGTAGCAACTCTCAATATCTTTTGCAAATAGGTTTTCAGGGCTGGGACTCTGTAATGAATAGGGATATTTTCTCTATCTCTTTTGGTGTCCCCTCTCTATTGATTTTGGAAAAGATAGAAGAAAACAGAAAGTACCATAGTGATAGGAATAACGATCTGTATCCGTTACAGAGTCCTAGCCCAGATTGCTAAATCCTTGTAGAAGCTAAGCATATTTGAATGCTTCAATAACATTTATAAAGCATTTTATGTAGAAACAAATACAAAAAAATAATTGAGAAAACCAAGACCTACATCTTCTAATCCATTAGAAAGGTCCACCCTAACCAAATTAGGTTCGTCATTAGGGAATCTTTCAAGGATTCTCTTAGCCAAGGTTTTGTAGACCCGTCCTTCATCATCATTAGTCAATAATGGGTAATGATGACCCTTATTTTGGCCAATATCTTTAACACCATCTATAGCGATTGTGACGATAGCTTCAGGAATGTTGAAAGGGTTTTCAATGAAAAAACCTTGCCAATGAGAAAAGTGTTCCGTTGAAAAACCAAGGGCAGCACTGAATACTTCTGGCAATGTGCTTTCTTTTATGGAATCATGCCCTTTAAAAACGATACTGCCTGGGTGGTGGATTACCGAGAATTCTCCAGACCCATAAACTACAAGGGAGAAAATATTGATTTTTTTGTGGAAAAAATAGTGATATAATATTTTAAAAAAATTCAGAAATTATAAAAGACTTACCATAAGTAACTAGCCCCAAAACCAACCCTATAAATAACATTTTGCTATTCAAATATTCCGGTTTTTCCAGAGATTTGGAAAAAAAGACGAACGAATCTTGAAGGACCACAAACCACTGTGTCCTATGACTGTGACCAAACCTCTAAAATCATATGACCAACCTAAAATGTCAAAAGTCAAAGTCACGTGCAGACAATCACGTCACGATATGTCCTAGGTGATTTCGAACGGTACGTGGTTTCAACCAGTGATGGGTCCACGGGTTTTTAGGTTTAAACCCAAAAAACCGGTTATGGGTTTAAACCCACCTGGGTTTTTTCAGTGATAGGTTTAAGCCCTTTTTGGTTTTTTCGGGGTTTTCAAGAAAAATAGTTTTTTTGGGTATTTTAGGATAGGGTGACCATACGTACAGCATTTCGCTGTATTGTACAGTATTTTCAAAGTCTGTCCAGGTCCAGCATTTAATTTTGTACAGCAAACGTACAGCGATTCGAATCCGATCATAATTATTAAGTTTTTCTTTAAAAAAAATTACGAAAAATTGTTCGTCAATAGGGAGTTTTCGTTGCTCTTGAAACCTTCAACGCCACGGTTAACGAATACGTAGTCATAGCCGCTATTTAACAGATAAAAGAACAGTTTTCGGAGCAAGAAACGGTACCCGCTTACCGTTACCGTGAACTATAGGCGATTTCGCCTCAGTTTGGTACCCCAGTTTGGTCACAACAACTTTGGTAGGCCCTTTGGTCTGTCAGATGCTATACCGCGGTTTGACTGGGTAGTGGAGGTTTGGTAGCTTTCTGTTTCTTTTTCTCTCATGTCCAAATAAGCATGTCAAAGTCAAAATGTACCAAACGCCCTATCCACTGAATTCGGATGTTGAGCTGTCACTTATGTACCAATTAACCCTTTTCACGTGGCTCCCGTTTAACAAACCGCAACATACCGCTCAAATTCGAGTGGTAGATATCCACACGTCACTTTGTAACCGGGTTAGAAAACGGTATGTCATTTCTCTAACCGTTTTGTAACTCGGTTAGTTAAACCGGAGCCACGTGAAAAAGAACTATTGGTTAACCATTCGCCTACCAAACAGTAGATGAAAATCTGGGGCGAAATTGCCTTAAATAGGTATAACCCCAAAAAAAAGTCAAGTTAAAGTTGACAGCGTAGCCCCCAGCCTCGTTTCAGTTTGGTTTTTGTAGATCTGGTTTTTGTTTGGTTCTCATATAGATTTATGGTACAGATTTATTGTACTACTGTTTTTCAGTACATTTTGATACAAATTGATAGACGAATTGATTTTATTAGACTCCAGGGATGATTCAGATTCTGATTTTGAAGAGGCAATCTTGTTGGAAGTGTTGGAAAACAACATGAAATACAGAGGCGATCTTTAGGGGAGGTTCAACCTAGATGTATGGTCAGCAAACGAGTGTAAAGTTTATTTTCGGTTCGAAAAAAACCATATCTTCAGATTTGTAGAAAGTACTCAGAATTTCAAACGAGTTTAATACAAAGCGTCTACATAAAATCCCAGGAATTTGTATTTTTCTGAGGTGGTTATGAAAAGTTACTGAAATTTGGTCACCTTCTTCTATAAAACGAACTCTTCTGCTTCTCTCCATTATTTTCAATATTACACTGTATAAGTTTATATTGGTACCCATTTTTGAAAGCTTTTGGGTGTGTTTTGGGTCAACTTGACAACTTGTCACCTGAATCAAGGTTATGAATTTTTTTATTTGTGTACTGCGCATGCGTTTCGCTACGTTAACGGCTGTCTACCGTCCGTACAATACCGGAATTCAGCGGTTACGATATACGACAAACGAGATTCGAATGTCAAAGTTGTCAAATAGCGTTAACCGAAATCGCATTTTGTAAGCAACGAAACAGTGGCGTATCTGCCGGTGTGCCATGTGTGCGAAGCACACAGGCCCGGCCCCGAAAGGGGCCCGTGAGCTCCACAGCGAAACTGCAATAAAATGATTTAGAAGATAATAGACCTAAAATTATTGTGTTTTTATTTTTTTGCTGGTATAATAATGATTAATATATGGACAATAGTCGATCTACGCGCAAAAAAAATACCGGCAGCGGTATAGTAATTTAATTCTGATTTGAAACACTGCATTATACAAGGATGTTTCAACATCACGTCGCTCTTCTTCTATTAATTTCATAGAAAATCTATTGTAAGTTTCCCTGTATGTACAAAATATAAGCAGCGACTAAATATCGCTACAGTAGCTCAAATTAATAATTTAAGTCGGCACGCGCCTATAGGTTCAATTATTGGGGTGGGCTACTTACGTCTTCCTGGAAACGATATAGGTGTTTCTGTGACTAGACTACCAGTGTCATCCGAATTTATACACGTCTAGCAAGTAAACATCTTACAATTCTCACATGCCAATTTTAATGCGATAGAATGAAATGCTTAGAAAAAGTCTAAGGTTAAATAGAGAACGAAAACGATGTCCCCTGTTCCACCTTCAGCAAAAAGCGCTGGGAATGCTAGAGGTGGAACAGGGGAAATCATTTTCGTTCTCTATTCAACCTTAGACTTTCCCTAGACATTTCATTCTATCGCTTTAAAATTGGCATGCAAGATGTTTACTTGCCAGGGGTGTATAGTATTTGCTATTTTATTCCACGTATTATTCAGTTGTGTTGTTTGATATTGATCATCACCATCCAAAGAAATGAAAATTATGTGACGCCCATGTTTTTTATTTGTTTGATGTATGGCGACTAGATGTTTTTCAAGTGTTTCAAGTCGGATTAAAAATACTATACATAGTTATTCTTTTACCACTTTCGAAAATGGTGAATTCACAATTTAACGTTTAAATACCTGTACCTAAAAAAAAATTTTAGGAGTGTTTTTTGAACGACTTTTGGGTTAGATTGGGTTAGTAAAAAAAAAATTCGGCCCTGTGATGGTCCCGCGGAGATTTTGGCACACAGGCCTGGAGCTGGGTTGATACGCCACTGCAACGAAAACTCCCTAATAACTAACGACATTTCTACATTTGCGATTTACGTCATTTACGCCATCATTTCCCAGAGTATTCTTTTTAATGCTAACTACCTTTTTTATCTCCCTCTATTCCACGCTGCTAAGAAGAATACACAGCATAATATATAGGTCTATTTCTGCAGCAATCACAAACCAGTCAGCACGAATTTCATTGGTTGAAAATAGTCAGCAAGTCAGAAACAGTCAGAAAACTAATTTCAACCCAAGGTTTCTAAAGTTAATAGGTTGTCTGGTAATGGTAAACAGATGACGTCATCAGAGGGGGGTTTCTCATCCTCTAGTCGCAACTTATCTTCCCGACTCACTTGTAGAAAGGCAATGGGATAGTCGAGACGATAGGTTGCGACTAGAGGATGAGAATCCCCCATCAGGAAGATCTAATGGAGAGTTGCATTATTTTAGGCATCAAGATGACGTCATAAAAGTTATCAGCCAACCAACCTACTGGCGGCTAGACATAGGATCGCGATCCAATGTTGCCAAATCCTCCTTTTATAAAGCGCCAAATTTCAAATAGATTTATATTGCGGATAATGTTACAATAATAATTAAAGGTTAATTTCTGTTATACAACAAATAAAGTCTCGCATGATTAGTAGGTAATAAATTAATCCTATTATAGATATTTATGTTATAAGGATCATAATCACGATCATTATGGTATTAGCCGTGAATAATGATAACACGGCGTGTGCTATAATGATTGTTTATGATGCAAATTTCATACAATATTTTATATTCCAGAAATTGTAAATAATTTTAATCGTTAAATGTTGTCTTCAATAAATTTTTCATATTTTTGCCTATTAAACCTACCTATATTTTTTTCTCATTATAGTACTTATAATGGGATCTCATTATACTAAATACTTAGTACTCTAATGAAATCGCATTAAATTAAAGTACTCAATCCAATAAATTATGTCATTTTGACACTACAAATGAGATCCATAATAATGTCATTTTATTATTATTTTCATTAAAGTCCATGAACTTCACGTCGATGTCGATTATATTTACTTTTAAACAAATCGTACACAAATCAAAAATACAAGCAATAAGCGAGCTACTGAATACCTACAATATACAATACTATAGCCACCTATAGCTTTGTTTGTATATTTGCACCAAAGAGATCAATGAAGAAGATAGACTGAAAGAGACAGCCAAACTTGGCTCAATGGGGTGGGCGGGCACGCGCATAGCATCGAAATCAATTTGGCAACGTTGGATCGCAGTCCTATGTTTAGCCGCCAGTAACCAACCTACCTCTTTCAAACAACTTTAGCCCTTTTCACGTGGCTCCGGTTTAACCAACCGCAACATACCGCTCAAATTCGAGTGGTAGGTATCCAACACGTCACTTTGTAACCGGGTTAGAAAACGGTATGTCATTTCTCTAACCGTTTTGTAACCCGGTTAGTTAAACCGGAGCCACGTGAAAAGAACTCTCTTGGTTTCAAACATTGAGGTTTTCAAGAACAGACCTAATTATGTTGTATCTTTCTTTTTTTTAATGTTAAGTGGTACTAAAACGGGCTATACTATAAAGTCGACAAAATTTGCATCTATATAGTGCTTTCTCCACTCACCTGTCCCAAAACTTTAGATGTGTACACATTCATACGAAAAAAATATGGTCACCCTATTTTAGGAAAAAAAATTATTTAATTTGTCGAGAATGTAGATTTGGTAAATGCAATTAGCATCGATGAAGATTGTGAAAATGAGTCTGAGTCTGAGTACGAGTCGACTGTACTAAAGCGGCGTTTACATTATTGGTATAGTTACTTGTACCACCTACTAGTACGAGTAACTAGCCTACCGTGAGCTAACCCAACGTCCAGGGCCCGTATTCTCGTCACCGGGGAACAGCGTTCTCTCAAGAGAACGATTGCTCTGTCTTAGTTGCCCATATTGTTATTTCCATAATACTGACAAAGACAGAGCAATCGTTCTCTTGAGAGAACGCTGTTCTCCGGTTACGAGAATACGGGCCCAGGATAGTAGGCGTTCATACATAAAATAATTTTTCCAATACTAGTATCACTAGTAGCTTTCAACACATTTGGCTCTTTGCCTTCGTACAATTTCGCTTTCAAAATCAAATCAATTGAGAAACTGCATATAAAACGTTTCCCACTGTCTATTGCAAGAAATTTTTCATATTTTTGATATTTCCATGTGCTCACTAAACAATCGCTGGCAACTGGCACTAGGTCAAACCTGTTTACATTCGGCAAGTAAACAAGTTCAATAGCGCGGATAGTAGATTTCACCGAGTGAGGGAAGGCTAGCAGGCTAGTAAATAGCCCAGGGAGCTATCTACTTTCCTAGCTAGCCCACTGGTACAAGTACTGGTACTAGAAACTAAATATGTGGTTTACATTGAACTAGTAGCTGTCTTGCAGGTTACTGGTGCAAGTAACTATCTCACTTATACTATACCAATGTAAACGCCGCTTAACAGTCACACTTATTATTTATCCAAATAATTATCATTTAAAAGTTTGATTTGGATTAAAAGTGTTCCTTACCTTAGAGAAGAAAAAAATTAAAAACTTGGCTTTATTGGGTTTTTTAAGAATAATCAGGGTTTAAACCCAAAATTTGAACAATGAACCCGGTTTTTTGAAATACGGTTATTCGAAAAAACCGGTTCTTTCCAAAGGGTTTTTAGGGTTTTTTCTAAAAAACCCGGTCTAAACCCATCTCTGGTTTCAACCAGGGACCCGGACCGGAACGATATTGAACCGAAAACCGGAACGAAATCGTTTTTTTTTTGCGGACCGGAACCGGAACGAAACCCATATTTCATAGAAATGTTGTAGGGCTGTCCGCATTTCTGAACTCGGCTAGGCTACACACCAAGGATTTTACATACTACTACAGGATTGCTCATCGGCTTCGATTTTTGGAATCAAGTTCATATGTTGTTGAACCGTTGTCGACGTCATCAACGGTCTCGTTAGCGGTTTACGTTCGTATTGTTAAGAATATACATGTACGATGAAAAATTTAATTTAAATTTGATTAACAGAATAGTCAATAGACAAGCGGAAGATGCAAATGAGATCTAAACAAGGGTTGTTTTAGAATAATAAATAATGTACTATGGTTCTAAACCGTTTCGAAATACAATCCAATCCACGTTTTAAAACCATTTCCTCGTGCCGAGAAATTATGACGTCATTGTGAAACTGATTTAAACCAGTTTTGGAATAAATGTTTCAAAACTTTGAGACGCGAAAAAACACTTCCTAATACGTCAAGGCGAGAAACGACCCGCTGTTACGTAATCACTGATCGAAAACACAAAAATTTATTTTATTAATAGTAATTATTATGATTATTAAAGTTGTTGCAGATAGGCAGAGAAATCCAAAAAAAATAAACCACAAATTATAGAAACATAAACTTTTCTGTAATGACCGTTTTAAGGGATGCTTCTTGAAATGGTCAGTGCAAATGGCCATTAGATATTTGTGAAAAATTATACCGGTATGAACCGTTAAAACCGAAATTATTGGTCGGAACCGAATCGAAATATTTCTCTTAGAACCGAAACCGTAACGGAACCGATATTCGTCATGACGCTGTGGACCGGAACGGAACCGATATTTCATTTCGGTCCGGGTCCCTCTGGTTTCAACCCAAGGTTCGTTTAATGCGATTCTTGGTTTTAACCTTCCAA